TATAGAGATAAATAAAAAAAGTTGCTTGATCTCTTACAATCTGGATGCAAAGACAAAGTGCTAAAAACGTTTAGCATGAAAGAATCTAAAAAGAGATTCTTGCTAATGTCAAATGGCATAAATCTTTTCAAGGGCATGTGTTTTAAGACATAAATTGAGAAAGATTGCATGAATAAAGTTTTATATGCTTCGTAATTGGATCCATTATGTATGCAATGTTATGTACAAAACCTAATATCTCATATGCTTTAAGCATAAAAAGTAAATATTAAGCAAATTCAAGTGAATGTCTCTAGAAGGTCATGAAAATAATCTTTAAGTACTTGAAAAGAACTAAAGATATGTTTTTTTATCTATGGTGAAGTCGAACTCCTTGTTGAAGGTTATTATGATGCAAGCTTTCAATCCAATAAGGATGATAACAAGTCTTAAAGTAGCTAAGTTGTTACTCTAAATAGTGGAGCAATGAGTTGAAAAAGTTTCAAACAAAGTAGAACTGCAGACTTTGCAATCGAAGTCGAATACATTTCTTCATCTAAGGCTGCAAAAGAGGCCGTTTGGATTAAGAAGTTTGTAACTAAACTAAACGTTGTTCCTAACATTGTTGATCCAATAACAATCTATTATGACAATAATGGAGCTATTGCTCAAGCCAAGGAACCAAGGTCTCATCAAAAATTCAAATATGTATTGAGGCTATATCATCTTATTAGAGACTTTATTTTTAGAGGTAATGTTAAAATTGAACGAGTATCTACTAAGGATAACATTACTAATCCTCTTACTAACGCTATGTCCCAGCAGAAACATGATAAGCATGTAGTCAAATATAGTGTTAGATACATGAACAATTGGCTTTAGTGTAAGTGAAAGATTGTTGGAATTTACCCTTTAAGTCAAATCATATTTTGGCTAAGATATTATCATATTTATAGTACTCTGATATTCGATATCTTATAAAAGTTTTATTTTTTTATCATTGAGCTTATATACATACATTTCAATGTTGATGCTTAAATGATAAAGACCTTAGAATATAAATAAAGCTTTACAAGAGAATTACAATGACATTGTAATTATGAGATCATCATTGCATAAAAGCTATATGTTTCAAAATTATTCCTAGCCAATGCTTTAACAATAAGAAGACATTGACAAAAGCTACTGGACTAGCTCATGGTTATACTCTTGCTTATGAAGCAAGCAACCGATTTTATAAGTTGAAGTTTAGGTAAACTTGAGATAACATGTGAGTGCTTCTTGTAAGAACAAATTCATTGAACATGACTCGATATAAGAATGCTATATGATAGTTCACATAGTGTCTATACCTACATTCTCATATGATGGTTGTGTAAGTGATCCTTTAACTTCATATTACTTATGATCTTATTTGATGAATACTTTAACTTCAATTTACTTATGGTCCTAACCAAGAATGCTCTAATTGAGTATTACTGGGTATAACATGAGGCATATAAAAATACATAAAATAATCAAAATGGGATTCATCACCTTGTATGATCAGGAAAGTATCTCAACTAGTTTTAACTTAATTAACTTGAGAAATCTTTGGCCGAAATGAAATAAGATTTTAGAATTGTTCTAAAACTTATTTGTGAATTAATGTTAAGGATAAGACTTAACATGGTTAAATAAGATTCAGCAGATTTTAAACCATACTCAATGCTAAAATCGAGATACTATATGATGAAATGATACTAATTATACACAAAGACCATTCATGGACAAGTTATAAAGCCATATTGAATTTTTTTTAGTAATTGGGGGTCATGACAATGAGCTAGCATTAATCATGATCTATAAACATAAGATTGGTTAATTGGAGAATTGGTGATGAAGACTAAAACTTTGTTTCATCAATAGTTGAATATTAAATCTTACAATGCTTGTGTTTATTGCCAATATGCTAAGAACCTAATAGGTCACGCAATAGGACAATTATGAAAGATTAAAATTGAGACAAACTAAGTTAATTTAATTTTGGTATAACAAAAAATAAAGGGAATAAAAAACAAGAGAAAGAGTTTCCCTTGTTTGGTACATTTAGCTGGCACAGGGTTAATTGTGAAAATTTGTATTTCAAGCAAAACTAATTTGACCAAATGCTTTTTTTATAAAAGGAACATCAAACCGCCCCCTATTGTAAGAGTAACCAACCAAGCATCTAGAGATCACTTAAAAAAATACTAGAGGTCTTGAAAATATTTACTAGGTATAGTCTGGCTTTGAGTTCTATCAAACCTTGGAGAAGGTACTTTCACAAGAGTTCGTATAGATCATTATTAGAAGTTAAACACTTAGGTAGCTTTTTGGCTTAGAATCTATTTGGAAGATCACCAAATTGAACCAAGGAATTTTTCGCATTCAAGGTAACACCATTAGCCAAAACTATGCATGCTTGAATATATATATTGTTTGTATAATCTTTTGATTGATCATAACTTAAGGAAATTAAAATTTTTTAAAAAATTTCGTTACTTTAACTCTGATAATGATAAATAATTCCCTTTACAAAACACATTAGTAACCACCTATAGGTTTATATGATCCAATCATTATACTTATAATCATCCACTTCGGTTACTCAAGCTCGAACCAACTAGATAAAATTCTCAAAACCCACGCTTAAAAACTTAAACGCGATATCATTAAGTATGAATTAGATCAGTATTTGTCAAATAGGCCAAATCTACACTAAATACTCTGATTCTTCGATAAGGGAACAAAATATTAAGGGCATTTTTAGGTCCAAGGGGCAAAATGGTTTTTTTCTTCATTAGAGACAATCAGCAAACAAATAGAAATATTTTCGACTTTTAGGCCAACCTGACATGTCAGGCTAACTTGAATTCATAAGGCCACGTTAACTCAACCATCTTATTAGCCTATCCACTAAGCCTTCATAAGTGCTGACTTGTCATTTCATGACTAGGTGGTCAACATCTAGCTTAGTTCAGCCTATTAGGGCATCCATGATCCTAAGGTTGATCTCAGGCAGCCTAGCCTACCCAAAATCCCCATTTTACAAGTATAAATATCATCTCTCATGTACCATTTGATTTATCTTGCTTTCTTATGCTTTTTTATAATCTCCTTCCTATTTTTCTCCTTGATCGATCTCTTACTTGAACATTAACGCACAAATGTTAGGAACACTCATAGCCTTTATCTTTAATAGCTCTTTTTCTTTTTCTTTTATTTTTAAGATTTTACCTCTAGAGGAACAACTTGACACTAATAGAAATCATTATCTATTTCCCCTTCTTTTTTAATATTTTAATATTTTTAAATATTTTATTATTTACATTTTAGATAATAATAATTGATTAAATAAATAATTTGCATTTTCAGTAATTAAATAAATGAAAATTTTATAAAAGATTTAGATCAAATTGAATTAAATTAAAGAAAACATTAAGAAACAAAAAAATAAAAATAGAGAAAGTGAGTCTATTTCTTTTCTTGCTTTTAGTTTTTGTTTATTTTAATTTTAATTAATTAAATAAATAATTTTCATGTTAAATAATTAAATAAATAAACAATTTATTAAAAAAATTTAGATCAATTTTAATTAAATTAAAAATAAAATAAAATAAAATAACATGGAGAGGGAAATAAATTATGGGGTTCTCATGAAACCATAGTCTATTTGCTTTCTAATTTTTTTAAAAAAATTTAAATGATTTCTATTTTAAATAATAATTGAATTCAAACTAATTTGAAGTTATTTAAGTGAACATTGAAATAAAAAAATTTAAAAAATTAAAGAAAATTAAAATATATAGGCCAAAAACCTTTTGAAAAATACATATCTATAATGTTTTTAACTTTTTCAAAAATACATATCCGAGAAAAGGTTAAAATTTTTTTGAAACTATAAAGCTGATTAATTAAATTTTTTTTTTTGTGTATGCATTTTCATAAGCTTAATAAACCTATAATAAGTGGGTATAGTTGAAGGATTCAAAAGTAATTTTAGCAAAACTTTTAAGTAATTCATTTAATGGGTAATTTTGTCATTAAAAATTTAATTTTTTTTTAACAATGAGGAAATAAAAAAAAGGGTTGAAAGTATTGATGTTCGACTACTAAACTCATTAAATGTCATTTCTTAAAGTGGATACTTGAATCAATCAAATAAAATTTTAATTTTTTAAGTATAAAATATAAAAAAGTGATTACTTATAAATTTTTTTCTTAAAAAATCACTAATTCCGAGTCAACGCCATGTAATCACATTCACACTTCAACACATTTAACAGCATAATCTTAACTCTTTAAATCATTAAATTACATTTAACAATTTTTAAAATTCATGGACTCTATTTTTACGGAATTAACGTATAGAAATAAATTTACCATTTTGTGTAAATACAAGAATAAATTGTTCAATTAAAAAAATATAGTAGGTCTTGTTAAAACATTTATTGAAAGACATGTGACATCTTGTTAAAGGACTCATTTGAAATAATGATTAATTCCGGTGCGATATGATTGGTGCCTCCAACTGTGGCATATGCGTGTTTGGTTAACAAAGATAACACGATAGAGAGGATTTTAAATTTACAGGACCTCCAGTGATCAATTTGAGCCTGATAGGCCTAGTAAAAAAATGGCACCTGCCGTTGGACCTGGTTTTTCATTTTTTAATTTTATTTCCATTTTTTAACATTTATGTTTGCATTTTGTTATTTTATTTTTTTACTTAAAAGTTTTTATATTTTTATTTTCTTGTTAACTTCTTTTTTTTTTTTATTTTATTAATTTAATTTTCAATTTTTAGTTTTAAAATTATTTATTAGTTTAATATAATAAATTATTTTATATAATTATATAGTAATTATTTAATTAAAATATTTAAATAAATATATAAAATAATATATTAATATTTTGATAAAATAAATTTTATTATTATTTTTAGAATAATTTAATTTTTTTATTCTATAAATATTAATTTAATATTTTTAATAGTCATTTCTCACCGTTCCTCAAACCCTAAATCTCTCGTTCTGCCTATTATTCATATTCTCCAAACTGTGTTTCCGTCTGATCTGACCTCTGATTAAACAAGTTACTATCTTCGGCCAAAAAAAAAAAAAATCACGGTTATCGCGATGGCCAGCCCAACTGATCCTCATGATCAACCAGAACCAAACCCGAACCAGAACCCTGCTATGCCTCAGCAGGTAGCTGAGCCGCCTAAAACACTAATCGTAGAAACTCTTCAACCCCAAGACAAATGCGATGATCAAGAAGATCCAATCGAAGAAGAAGCTAATGTAGACGACACAGATTTGCCTATTCCTTCATCTCCACCAATCACTGACCTCCATGTCACCACCACTACCACTGGCTCTCGCCGTGGCGGGGGTCCTAAACGCAAGAAGACGGCCACGAAACGACGCGCTCAAGAGAAAAAGTCCCAGAAGAAGCTGGAGATACTGACTGAAACCCTAAGGCCCATTCCTTTTGTCCCCAACAAAACCCTAGATTTTTCATCACACGAAAAGCTCCTGAAGCAACTTGGTTTGTGGGATTTTGTTCATTTGGAATTTCATGGAAGCGTTCGAGCTGATCTGATCGCTCAGTTGATCGCTACTTACAACCAGCAATCACGTTGTAGCTACGTTAATGGGTGTCGCATTGGGGTCAACCGGGCCGACTTGGCCCGTGCTTTGAAGTTGACTGTGAAGAAAGATAAGGATAGCATTGGGGAAGTTGAAGAATCAAAGGAATCGATAGGCTTTGTTGAGGAATTTGTGTCAAATTGGGTGCTTTTGCATGAGGATACATGGATGACGCCTGTGGAGGTGTTGAACTGGACCAAAATCATCAAAGAAGGCCATTTTGAGAAGGTAGATTGGGCTGGTTTGATTTGGTTTATGGTGGAGAAAGAGCTCATGGCTGCCCCTAAATTAGGTAATTGTTATTATGCCTCGCATATGCAGTGTATGATAAAATACCAGAAAGACGAGCTGCTGCAGGAGATACCAAAAATAGATGTTTATGACACCAAGGTGGAAGAGGAAGAGCATAATATTCCTGGGGATTTTAAGATGGCTGCTGATGGGATTGATGAATTTCATGGGGGATCACAGTTGGAGGAGCATAATATTGAGTTGAGTCTTGGTGGGCAGGATAATTTGATGAACAAGGATGATGTTGAAAAGGAGGCTGTTGGGGATGATGATGTTATGGATTGCGAGGAAAGTAAGGGGGATGAACATCAACACGTGCAGTGGCATTTGGATGGAGACAACTATATGGATGTGGGTGGGGAGAATTTCTTACGACCGTGTAATTTTGGTGATGTTGGTGGTGTTGAAATGGAGGAGGAAAAGAAACAAGAGAAAGGAGAGCAAAGAGAGGAAGGAGAGAGTGAAATCGGGGGAGAGATGGGAGAGGGAGAAGAGGCAGGAGAGGAAGAGGAACAAGATGAACAGCATGAACAAGGATTCCCTATTTCACCAAAAGGTGACAATTTGGAGGGTGTACATTCAACAAATCTTCTTGAAGCAATGGAAACTGCAGATCTCCCTTTTCCAGCCGGGTTGCACATTCGTGATAGCTCATCAGGGAAATTTCTTCATTCTAGGGGTGATGCTCAGACAGTTCCTGGTGTCTCATCATTTCTGAGTAATGGTAACAAGAGAGAGATTGATCATGAAAATGATCTTTCTCATCATTCTTTGAATGGGAGCAATAAGCGCTTGAGAACTGATGGGCAATGGGTTGATAAGTCATCTGACTTTGATATGTGCATGGAGCAAATGCAGCATTGGATTGGTAAAGCAAGAATGCTCTATGCTGCAAAAGAACAGGCTTATGGAGATTCCAGCATGAATCAACAAATGTTACTCGAGGAGTTGCAACGAAGGGATAGCATTATTGAGCATTTGCATAAGGCCAAGTATGACGAGCAGCATAAGAGACAGGTGGAGGTTTATAGGCTTGAGCGGGAGCTCTATTTGATGGAAAATCTATTAGATGGATATAGAAAGGCTTTGAAGGAAACAAACCGAGCTTTTGCGGAGTATAGGGCACGTTGTCCCCTGCCTGATGAACCGCTTTACAAGGATGTTAGTGGGTCTGGGGGGTTAGTGCTGAGCACTATGGAACTAGAAAAGCAGCGTCTGAAACAAGAAGAAGAGGAGAGGCTTAATAGACTGTTAATTGAGAAAAAGATTGAGGACTTTGAAGCTGGGTGGATTTGCAAATTTGATGCACATAAGGATGCAGTTTCTCTTCTCAGCAACAGATTGGTTGATGCTGAGAATGATGTGAAACATCTTGAAGAGGTTTTTGCAAATCGCAAGGTTTCAGATATTCCTGAATGTATCCCGAATGAATTGTGAATGTAGACTCAGTAAGGTTTGTCTTTTAAGCTTTCTATGCAAATGAAGAACTACTCTTATTTATATATATGTCAAACAATATGCTTCATGTGCAGCGCCTGTGTTGTGCATGATGGAGTCCTTTATCGAATTTGATCTCTGTATGATAGACTTGGTTTGCAAAGTTACCAGTAGATATTTCATGAGTTTAGCTGCCTGAAGTTTGTTCTGGTTCAGATTAAGAGGTCCATACTTCTTACTGATTTACCTGTTTGATTTTCGGACTTTCTTGGAATATTCCAAGTTAAAAAGATGGTTGCTTCCATCTATCTCTTGTAGTATAAGTTAGATCAGGACTTTGCTGGATTTTATGTCTGGTTATGAACTATTTATCGTGGTACAGCATTGGGGATTTTGACTCAATATGTTGGGCACTCATACTTTGCAGAGTTTCTTTGATTAGGCGATTTTAATAAATATGGAATTAGGGTTCAATTACAGTTTTTTAGTAGGGGCAGAGTTGTTTGGAATTAAGTCTAGCAGACTTGAATCAATAGAGGAAATTACTGAACTCAGTCAGGATTTAGAAAAGGGATATAGTCCACTGAAATGAGTCAATAGAGGAACAAGTTGAACTCAAAACTTGAAATTAAAAGATGGGGTATATACGGTTCACTGAGTTGAGTCAATAGACGAAGATACTTGAACAGTTCAACTCAAACTTGGTTAGTCTCAGATTCTTTGCTGTTCATACTTGCTAAACAAGAGATTGCATTCATATATAGTTTCATACAATAGACTGACTTGTTTCAACTCGAGTATAATATGTTGTTGGGATAAAATGGTGAAAGCCGCGAAGCATCCTCATCTGCCAGCATCCAAAAACTGATGAGTGTTTCAGGTTAGTTGACTTCACTAGTTGGCGCGGAATTTGACTTGATTTCGGTCCTAAATCTAAATTACATTAATAGATTTGCATGTGACATCTCCCTCCCTGCCCATCTTATATTGCAAATCTGAAGACAACCATTAGATTAGGGCTCCATTTAGAATGAATTGTTCTCACTGTTGAGTGCCTTTAAGCAGTGCACTCGCATAATGCTTTAATGTATGGATACTAATGCCACGAATCCTACGTGGCTCCGGTGGAAAAGCTAAACTCCACTGATGGGAAGAGTGTATGGTGCTTACCGCACCATGCTTTTTGACACTTTTGGCATTTTTCCCTTTCGTTTTCTTCTTTTTTTTGTTTAATTAGATAAAAATGAAATAATTTTTTAATCTAATAAAATAAATAAATTTTATTATATAATAAATTAATAAATATATAAAATGTATTATTACATTATGAAGTAAAAAATTTATTATTTTATAATTTTATTATTACATAAATATTATATTATGAACTAAAAATAAATTTTTTATAATATTATATTATTATTTTAACTAAAAATAAGTAACTACACAATAAAAAGTTAAAGAAAAAATCATTTGATATATTATTTTTTTTATTAATTTTTAATTATTTATGATTCAAATTATAGTGGCAAAATTATTTTAATAATTTTTTAATTTTATAAAAAATAAATAATTTAAAATTTTTATTACCTATAAATTTTAATTTAATATTTTTAATAATCATTTTATTGCTTACTACAATTACTTTTTCACTACTGTTGTAATTGCATCCAATAATTTTAATTTCATTATTACAGTAATTAATTTCACTTTTAATGTCATTTTTAATTTCATTGAATCAATCTTCCTGCTAATTCAAATTAACTCTAAGGGCCTCACATATACCCTGTTTGATTTTTGACTTTTCACTTACACTCTTGAAATTTTTTCATTTATAATTTTGGGGTTTACTTTTGTTATCAAGAAAGGGTAATTATGTCAAAAATTAATTGAAAAGACAAAAATACCTCATAATTTTTTACTTTGGTAATCGTATGATAACAGAAGTGAATCTCAAAATTATAAGTAAAAAAGTTATAAACAACAGAGGATGTATATGAAATATACCCTATATAAAGTTTCTTCTCACTGCATATGGCTTATATGATTCTCGATCAAGGCGACGCATGTTTGGGTACGAGGAACGCTCTTCCCATGCTACCACTTTTTACTCACTGTGTGTGTGAAATTAAAGGATTTTAAGAATATTTTTAATCTAGAGAAATTTAAAAATATATCAATTTAAAATAAAAAATATTTATAACTGCATTGTTTAAATAATTATTTTTGGAAAGTAATTTTAAATATTAGAATTTGATGAGATAAAAAATAATTATAATTAAAAAATAATGATATTAGAGACAGAAAAAAATATTAAAAAATATATACAATATGAATGCTATTAGATTTGTAAAAAGTATGTAGATATAACTAACAATATGAAAAATTAAAATAAATTATAATGAGTTACTGTAGTTAAAATCGAAGAAAATAAAAATGGCATAAAAAATAATACATGATGACTTATTACTAAAAAATCAAATAATTTCACAAATTCCACCTCCTTAAGTGAAATTTGAAAAGCGAATTTGAACTTTTAAAAATTTTTCATTTAAATTCCAAAAATTTTGACAATTTTAATTTTTTATCAAACAAATTAATTTCATTTTAAAATTTTAAAAATTTCTTTACAAGTGTAATCCCTCCTTGAACTTCCTTGTCCAAACGCATTCTTAGATTTTGTTGAAGCATGTACATTAGAATTATCGAAAATTAACTAAACTCTGAACAATTCAAAACTGGAGGCTATCAGAATGCGAAACAAGGATCGAGGTATTTTCAAATCTAAAAATAATACCGTAATGAAAAAAATTGAACTTTAATTATATCATTAAAAAATAAATTTAAAACAATTTAATTTAAGTAGCTAAGCAAGAAAAATTAGTTTAATTTTTTTTTTATTTCAAAATTCCAATGAATTCAAGGCTACCAATATTCTTTCTTTTTAATATGACAACTTTAAAAACAAACTAGTATGATATCCGTGTTTTGCTATAGGTTATTTTGTATAGCATAATTGAAAATTTAAATATATAAAATTTTTATTTAATTGAATAACAGTATACTAAAAAATAAATAATCAAAACAAAGTCAATCTAAGAATTTACACATCAAAGAAAAGTAACATATAATATATAAAATTTAATGAATTGATTACAATTTGTAAACTATACATATCACATTTTTATAAGGACAACTTCATAAATCATAATTAGACAAAGATAGTTATTAAAGGAACATGTCCATATATTATTAAGATGATAAAGCTGTGTCCTTTACAAAATAAAAAAGTTGATTTACAATCATTTGAGATGTATGTTTAATTTTTTCTGAGACATCACAAATCTTATAATTTTAGGATTCAAGTCATTGAAAGAAAAAAGATATTTTAATTCATTCTTTGAAAAATAATGAGATAATAGAGTATTGGCATGCATTTATACTAACCTTTGTTGAGTCGCATATCAAATTTCTTTTTACTATTTATATCTGTATTTTAAGTTCTTATTCTACCTCTAACCTCCTCAACTCCACTATCTATGGTAAACTACAAGAGCATACCTGATTGGGGGAGGGGATTACGCCTTGAACATTGGCAACCCTCCAAATGCCACTACCATGATGACACCAAACAAAAGGCTCATTGGCTCTAGCATTCACATGTTTAAAAAGTTGTCATTCATCTGCAAATTCCAATTTCTTTAATCATCTTTTAATATCCATATCCCCTACAAGCATTACACTCCAAGATAATGAATACCACTTGCTACTTTCTATAAAATCTGTATGATTACATTTAAAAAAAAAAGCTTACAAACATTTTTCCAATACTTAAATATGACTGTTATCAAATTTATGAAAATTAAATATTATACCAAATGAAGATAAAAATCTGCAAATGAATAGAAAGAAAAATAAATGGAGAAAAAAAAAATTAAGCCTAAGCATTTTTGATGTAGCACCTAGCAAGAAGATTAAAGCTTTATAATAAAGCGTCTAACATCAACTTGGCAGCTTTTCCTATCTTAATTTTTCCTTGTTTACGGTTTCTACCTACAAGTTCTTAATATATATATATATATATATATATATATATATTTATAAAGGGACTAAATATCAATTACTTAATGCAAAATTTTACCAAACCCATAAAGCTAAAATTTCATCAATATTCCAACCCAATCAAACCTAGAAAAACTATACAATTTGTTCCATTTATTCCTAGTTCTTTTTCTAAATTGGAAACCTTACGACACACACATGTTTTAATAAAACAAATATTGACAAAAGAGTAATGTATGTTATAGCTGCCAATCCAAAACAATTTACTATTCAGACATGTACAGGTAAAAAAAAAAAAAAACTATTGCCAATAGTCAAGATTAGTATTTGATAAGCTATTGAGAAATAATCTCAGAAAAAAAATATAAATGGAATAGGAAAGAGCTAAGAAAATAGATATAGCTCTCAAAATCAATTGTGTCTAGCCATCAACTGTGTCCATATTAAGGTTTAACATCCAAGCCAGTGCAAAACATGAGAGATATAACAGGAAATGAAAAGTCAAATGGCTAGAAAATTTTACCTATTAGATAAGCATTTTGGTATTAGAACTCAGTTTCTTACATATCGAAGCTATCTTAGAAGATTCAGAACCAAAATTAAAAGCATGTGAAAGAGGAGTAATTGGTTTTTTTTTATATATATATTTATCATGCATTATCTCTTGAACCAACAATCAATGCCATCAAACTAAAAATAAAAAATTATCAAATTGATTATTGATGTGTTTAATTTCTTATATCCAGTTGTGTTGGTATTTGCCTTTCAAGCCAAATAATATCTTGGTTAATACATTTTCATATTTGTAATACTTTGATATTTGATATCTTATAAAGATTTTATTTATTTACCATTGAATTTATTTATATGTATTTCAATGTTGATGCTTATATGATAAAGTCTCCAAAATATAAATAAAGCTTTGCAAGGAAGTTATAATAAGATTGTAATTATGAGATCATCATTGCATAAAGCCTATATGTTCTAAAATTGTTCCTAGTCGATGCTTTATCAATAAGAGGACATTGACAAAGCTGTTGAGAATAGTGCATGGTTATGCTATTGTTTATGAAATAAGCAACTAATCTTATAGGTTGAAATTGGATAAACTTGA